CATGGCTATAAGTGTGCAATTCAGTAATTTATGCTCTTTCTCAATCACTCATACTGTAATTTTAATATTCTTACTGACTCTTGGACTAACTCAATCAATGCTTATTCCTAAAATAAAACATATTCTAAGTCATCACATCATAAATTAATTTTTACTAACTAATTCTTACTTAACATGATTCAATAATTCAGACAGAGAGAAGAAATAAAATAAAATAAAATAAAATAAAGAGGAATAAGGAAAAGAATTTTCCCTGTTTTTCTTATAAATTTTGCGGTTCTACTCATCACAGGGATCATAGTTGTACCAACTGCTACTACTGCTACTATATATATGGTGTGGTGCGTCCTCATTCCTAGATTTAGGAATTTGCTGTCCTCAGCAATTAATAAATAAAAAAGAAAGAACTGGACACATCAACTCAACAAAAATATCATCAGATAAAGTCAGTAGTAGCAATCATGCTCATTATAGAGTGAGAAAAATAAAATTTGTACATCACCAGAGTCATCACTAATTAAAACAGATAAACAAAAGAAAAATAAAACTAAAATGGTCCTAAAAAGAAAATAAACTAAAATAATTAACTTAAAAGCGATAAATTCTTAGGTTTCCTCCTAAGAGCGCTTGTTTAACATCATTAGCTTGTCGTTACATCTTCATTAGTCATGGCGGCTTGTAGCCGGAATTCAAATATGATGTCATTCCTTTTATCATAAATATTGCTTTGCCGTAATAGTACTCTCGTGCATATGGGCGAGAGGGTTTGGCCTCAAGAACTCTAAAATTAGTCTTGATGTGTTTTCCCTTGCTCTTAGGCTTTGCCATCTTTACCTCCGGCTTGGAACTCTCATCTAGCTTATGATCTTTCTTTTCTTCTTCTTCAGCCTTCTTTTCCTCAATAAAAAAATTTCTCTACCTGAGTTGTAGGTGGTGGAGTTTCTATTTCAAATATTTTGAGAATATCCCTTTCTCCTTCCACCCTTAAGATCAATTCACCTTTAGGCACATCAATTAGTGCTCCGGAGGTTGCTAAGAAAGGTCTCCCAAAGATCATGGAGACAGTAGCATCCTCCTCTATATCCAAGATAACAAAGTCCATCGGGAAGATGGACTTGTCCACCTTAACAAGTATGTCCTCTATTACTTCATATGCTTGCTTGGTGGAGCGGTCAGCTAGTTGCAGAATCATATTGATCGACTTCACTTCTGTGGTTCCTAGCTTCTTCATCATATATAATGGCATTACGTTGATGCTGCACCTAAATCACATAAAAATCTCTCTATTGTCATCGAGCCAATCGTGCAAGGGATACTAAAACTCCCCGGATCCTTTAATTTCGGAGGTAAATTCTTCTGCGTGATTGCACTACACTCCTCTGTCAAAATAGTGGATCCTTCTACTGTGAGCTTCCGCTTCTTGGTTAGGATCTCTTTTAGGAACTTAGCATATGATGGCATTTGCTCTAAAGCTTCCGCAAAGGGGATATTGATGTGCAGCTTCTTAAAAATCTCTAAGAATTTAGAGAAATTTTTCTTCTGCTCGTGCTGCTGCAACCTCTGAGGATAAGGAGCCTTAACATAAGGATTATCTCCAAGTGATTTAATCCTTTCCTCTAAAGAAAGCTTCTTTATTACTTTCTTACATGGGGTATCATTTAATGGTCCTTCAAAAATTGTGACATCTTTATCGATAGGGTCATCAGCTTTTTCTTCAGCAGATTTTCCTTCTCTGGATCTTTTTCACTACTCGGTGCAGCTATTGGTATTTCCAAACTTTTCCTTGTAATGATGGCATTACATTGTTCCTTGGGATTAATAATTGTAGTACTAGGGAAGGTTCCTGGAGGCCTCTCAGCCATCTGTTTGGCAAGCTGACCAATCTGAATTTCCAGATTCTTTATGGAAGCTTCTTGATTCTTTAAAGATGCTCTAGTTTCTTCTACGAAATTTGCTTGAGATTGAGCCATCTTTTCGAATGCAACTTCCCAAGCTGCTTTCTGATTAGATTGTGCTGGTTGACTTCTCATATTAGCTTGTTGTGGTGCTCCTTGATTATATGACAGTGTAGAATGGTTCCTCCAGCCAGGATTATAAGTGTTGTTGTAAGGATTGTTCTCCCTACGCTGGTCGTACCAAAGAGAATTCACCTGAGCTGGGTTTATAGTAACCATAGCCTCATATTTATCAGCACTATAAGGTCCGCCACAAGTATCGCCTACAGGAAATTGCAAATTAACTGCAGAGATTTGATTTTGGGTAAAGAGCTTAACAAGTGAATCTAGCCTTTGATCCATCATGTCTTGTTTGGCTAACAAAGCATCATACCCTTCTAACTGCATAACTCCTCTCTTAGGTTGAACTGGTGTGACCTCGTTATCTTCAGATGCCATCTTCTCAATTAGCTCAATAGCCCTAGTTGGAGTGATTTCTCTGATGCTTCCTCGATATGTCAACCTAACCCCTTTGAAAAAATTCGGACCTTCTCGCTATTCGATAGAACATACTGTTGACATCTCCTGATTAGTTCTTTAAATCTCCCACATCCCACGCACAGGGATTCACTTTCGAGCTGCTTGAAGTTTCCAATCTGTTCTTTCAGCTCAGAGAATCGGGAGAGTGGGAAAAACTTCTTTTGAAATTTTTCAACTAATTCTTCCCACGTGGAGATGCTATCAGCAGGTTGCAATTCCAACCAATTAAGTGCTCTTCCTTTTAAGGAGAAAGGAAAAAGCATCAGTCGGATTGATTCAGCAGGTACCCCATTAGCTTTAATGAGGTTACACAACTGTAAGAATTTAGAAATATGGCGGTTTAGGTCTTCGATCGGGTCTCCTTCAAATTGACTATTTTGAATTAAATTTAGAAATGAGGCTTTTATTTTGAAGTTATTAGCTGGAATTGGGGGCCTTCAAATACTCGCAGTCGGATGCGAGAAATTAGGATTTAGGAAGTGGTTCATCAGTTCTTCTGGTGGATTTTGGTTATCCTCTGCCATGACTGGTTCTTCAGCAGAACTGGAACTCGATGCGTCTTGTGTCTTCCTCGCGATCAAACGCTTCCTATTAGTTCTTTGTAGTCGTCCTAACTCTGGTTCATACTGTAGGTCACTGGGGGTTGACAGTGCCTAGCAGATGCATAAACCAGAAAACTAAAGCTCAGTGGACCCAACTAATGGAAACCACTAACTAACAGAAAATTTAAAATTCAATATTTAAAATTTAAAGCAAACAAATTAAACTAAGAAATTAAAATAACAAAACTAAATAAAATAACTAACAATAAAAATATTAAACTAACAACGGAAAATAAAATAAGCAAAATAAAAATATGAGAAACAAAAACAAAATTAAAATGAAAATAAAAATAAAAAAATAGAACAAATAAACTAAAAAAAATAATAATAAAATAAAATTAAAAAAATATGATCCAATTTATAATTTTATAAATAAAAATAATGTTGATTAAATCATTCCCCGGCAACAGCGCCAAAAACTTGTTGACGAACTCGGCAAGTGCACCAGTTGTGCAAGTAATAAAGCGATAAGAAAAGCTGTCGATCCCACGAGGACTGATGACCAAGCAATAATTTATCTATTTAACTAAAGTTGGATCGATCGTAAAAGGATTTCTTGAGAATATTGTAATTAAAAACAAAATTTGTAAACTTATTTTTAGTTTTCAATAATTTAGAAAACAAATTCAGAATTAATGAAGCTAGAAATTGGTTTTAAGTTTTTAATTAAAGGACGTAGTTAGGACTCGACTTTCCCAATGGTTTCCTAACGAATCTACTATTCTTATTATTATATTCAAGATCAAGTTATTAACAGTTCTTTCTATATTTGATCAAATCCTAATCCCTTGGTAATCTAATCCTTTATTTCACTCCAAAGCCTAATCCCTTAGTACTTTTTCATAAAATAAGCATTAACGCAAGAACCTACGGTTATAGAATTTATAAGTCTATCCCTAGATCATACAAATTCCAGCAATCAATCAATCAGAATCGATACACCAACATCCCTATTGTCATGCACGACTCTAATGCTCATTCAAGATTGGCCAGATCATAAACAAGACTAGGAATTTTAAACAGATTAATTGCATAACTTAAATTAAGAACATAAATCATAAGAAAAGCAAATAGCATTTAAGAACCCATTGGTTCCGTCTCGCCCTAACTACTTAAACAAAATTAGCCTGACATAGTCAGGAAAACAAGAACAATAGATGGAAAGAAACTAAAATTCATAAATGAAAATAAAACCCGGTCTCCACGGTGAAGCTTTGACTGTTCCTCCGCTCCTCTGCCTTCTTTTCTTCGCGTCTCCCAATCCAATAATGAATGGAATGAGCCCTAACGTGCATTTTTATAGAAATAAAAATGGACTTTTTAATTTGGACCAGGGTCGATGAGGATTAATTTTGATTAATTCTTTATTTTTCTTGATCCTTTTCCTTTGCAGTTGCCTTTATCCTTCTTGATTGCAATTTGTTATTTTAGACCTGAAACAAATTGAAAAGAGATTAGAATCTTATCCAGCTGTTGGAATCTTGATATCTTTTGGATTTTATTAATTAACAATATATTTTTAATTATTTTAATTATTATTTGAACTATATTTAACAATAAAAATATAGTGTCTTGGACACTTATCATCCGTACATATGTCAGTCCTTAGATATCACATTAATCATGATCTGGTTAGAATTATTTCAAAAAAAACTATTCGATCCAACTAGTTTGAACAAAAATTATTTTATCTTCTTGGAGCCAATCCACAAAATATCATCATCATCCATTTATTAGAGATCCAACTAGTTATGCACGAATCATTCTCATTTTAGTGGTTCAAGATAATCCTTCGATCCACAATACACAAGAAATTTCCCGAGCAAAATCAATACCCTTGGATTGTATTTTCAATTTTAGACTTAAGAAAATTTGTCATCGTATTATTAAACGGAGTATTACTCTTTTTTTTTTTGAGGTTACAAGGAATTGAACACAACACCCTACACTACACACACTCTTAACACACACACCCCACACCACTAGGCTAACCCTAGTGGTGCAACAGAGTATTACTCTTTACTCTTGAAGGAAGTAATTGTTATCAAAATAATGTTAAAATTCTTGAGAGGGCTGTGTTAGAGAAATCACTTCGACAATATTCACAGTTCCATGAAATACACACCAAAAATTGAAACATGCAATAGCACAAAGTTAAAGCATACCAAACGAAAATATATGAATGCAATAAGGGAAAATCTGAGCCCAATGTTAGAAATTGTGTCCTTAAAACAATTTTGCCCTTTCTATAGTACCTAAGATTTCTGGACAATTATCTCTTAGAATAGAATGGATTACCTCTATTCTTGTGGTGACATTTCCACATTGAATAGCCCCATTAAACTCAATCTATAATAACTCAAATAATCAAATTACTTTAATTGTAAGTTAATACTTAATTAGAGGGTTAATTAAGCAAAAATCCTGAGTTTAGGGTTAAATTCTCACCAGGGGTAAAATGGTAATTTAGTAAAAGTTACTCGAACTTGAACTAATTTTGGGAAATACAGCTCACATATGTCCATGAAATTAGGGAATCAAATTAGAAAAAGGCTAATTATATGAGAAATCTAATTATACAAATATAGTTACATTTCGGGATAAAAGTACAATTAATGAAAGTTCCGAGTAAAAATACAATTATGCGAAAGTTACCTGAAACTCTAAAATATTGTAGTGAGATATTATTATATGACTTTGGTGAATGTCAAAAACTTTGGTGAATGTCAAAATAAATGTTAGATGATCTAAATAATGGATTAAAGGAGATTGGGAGCAATTTCATTAAGGGCAAAATGGTAACTTCCCACTTAAATGTGTTGACTAAATCAAAACTCTCTCAAGTCATGACACCTAGGCATTTTCCCCTCATTTTCTTCTGATTTACAGATAGCTCTTGCCCCTCCAAACAGCCAAGCCTGAGAACAGTGCCCCACCTCCATTGTTGAAGAAGCTTGTAACCTAAATCCTTAATTAAGCCTCCAAACCACAAAGTGTGTGAGACGAAAATTGTTCCCCTTCCTTCAACAAACATAACCCTCCAACCATTTAGCTTAAGGAAGCATTGTGTGAGGAGAAATCTTCTCTTATGTGCAACAAAATTTTGAGGTTCAAAAAGCTTGGAGAAGTGGTTTGTCTTATTGAAGCTTGGGAAAGCATTCTTGGGCTCTCCTTAGTGAATTTAAGGTGAGAAACCTAAGCTTTCTTGGATGTTTATTATGATTTAAATTCTAAGGTTCATTGATAAATAGTAACTAACATGTGTTTTGATTTGATTTTGGCTTGGGTCCATTGAAAATAAGTGATTAAGAGGTGTATGTAATGAAGGAAAACCTATGAAAACGTCACCTTGTGCATTTCTAAATTTATGACCATGAACAAAGTGTGTATTCAAAGAGGGTTACCATGGTTTATGATGTGGTGATGTAAATGAACCTTATTGTCTTCACAAAATGTGTTAAATATTAGTTCTTGGCAAAGGAAAAATAATGAGAATATCACTTGACGCATTTCAAAATTATTGAACTTCAATTCTTCTTGGCATTTTATAAATTCTATTTCTGGTGCTACAGACCTCCAGATAGGGAAAACTTTATATCAATTTGAAGCCCAAGATGTCTAATTTCTACCATTAAAATTCCAATTCATTTGGATAAGATTTTGATTATATATGATTTTTGGAGTAAAGAAATTTTTTCTTTAACTCAACTCACCAATTTTTGGATTTTGGGCAATGTTGTTGACTATTGATGAAATCCTTTTATTCTATACTCCAATGCAATTAAATGGACATGGATATTACATTTTATGACTTGAAATGGGCATGAGTCCTTTTGGAAGAAATGATAATATGGGGTAGTTAATGAAATAAAAGCATTGAAACTACCACAAACTTGAGTTTTCAAGAATGTCCATAACTTAGGATTTTGGAAAGTTTATGGATTTTGATATTCATGAATGTAAGATAGGATTTTGATAATATTTACGTTCATTTAGTTTATAGTGTTGAATCAAGTGAGTTATTCGAGAAAAACAAAGCGTTGGATCAAGTAATGAAGCATGATCTTGAATCTTGAATGAACCAAGATTAGTGTAAGTAATCAAACTTTAGTTTTTGATGAAGTTGCATTCACTAGCTTTGCATTTGATGTGTATTGTGAATAATTGATTGCATTTTCACCTATGGTTAAGTGTTGCTTGTAGCAAGTCGTTGTGTTGATATTTCAAGCATATTCAAGTGTGGAAAGCTTACTTGAGCTTGAAGAAACATTGGATAGGAAGCCTACTTGAGGTAAACTTTTGGACCATGAGATTTTTATCCCTATTTGTTCCACAATACTCCATGGGAGTAGTGGTTTATGTGTGGTGTATGTAATTGCACTGAAATGTGATATAATGCATAGTATATATATTTTCTTTGTGTGAGGCATGCCTTGTGGTGTGTGTATTTGCTTTGTGTACTACATAAGATGGACTTCCTTGTGTGAGGCATGCCCGGTGGTGTTCTGCATAAGATGGACTTCCTTATTCTTTGTATGTCACAAGATGGACTTCCTTGTGTAAATCATACTTTTTGTGTTCTCTAGCCAATAGAATTGATTGATATAAGCATTTCGGTGAAGGCTGATGGACCCGAGGAATGACTCGATTATGATTTATATGAGAATTCTAGTGATGGCTGATGAACTAGAGGAATGGATTGATTGAGATTGATATACATTGTATAGATACATATATGATGTATTATCTCTGTTTTACTGCTTTTACACCTAAAGTGAACTTAGGGGTGGATGAATCTACCAAGGACCCCTAGTTTACTGAGATTGTTATCTCTCCCCGTGTGGGGACCATATATCAGGTACAGACACTGATGCTATTGAATTTCATATGGAATTGGATAACTGTCAATTAGGTACATTTTGCTAAAGTGAGAACAATCCCCAGGGTCTCTAAATACAAAGGAGATGTCGTCCGTTTTATTCTAAAAAGAAGTAAGGTGTAAGAACGCGTCACATAATTTTAATTGGACACAGAATAATTGGTGAATTGCAATACATTAGAAAAAGAAAAATTTTATTCATGTTTTGGCATAAGACTAAATATGATTAAATAAGTTTCACTTCCACATTTATTTGATTAAATATGTTGTGCTTAATACCATATGCATGATAATACACTGGCAGCCAACACGATGTTACGACACTAGAGTATAAGAATGCAAATGTAAAGAATATTCAGAAACCAATAGAGAAAAACTCTTCTTAACCCACCACCAACCATGGCTCATCCGTTTTCCATTGCTGCAAATCTTCCTAAAGGGATGTCGAAAATGCTCATTTGGACTAGCATAAACTGAAGTATAATCAAACTTTCACATACCTAGGATGCAGAAGCGACAATGGAAAAATTGGGCAAATTGTCTTACCACATATGTGTAGATGACCAAAGCCACCAAATACCACCCACAAATCCTTGAGCCTCTTCTAAGCATATTTATCAAACCTAATTTTCTTCAATAACCGCTTGCAATTTAACCCAAAGGTGCGAGTCTCTACAAGAACTAACTATCGAATCGAGTATTTGACTACAAAAACTTCAGAAGCCTATCAAGCTCCTTCTTGGCAGCCCACTCTCACGTTCCATACAAGGAACGAGTACATCATTGAGATGGAGGAGTAGTCGTGCGCCTGCAGCACCTTGTTACTCAAACGGTGAGACCGTTTTTGTTTGTTTGCATCCAAATTGTTCATCAGATTAAATTTTTCTGTTTTACTTGGACAGCCAACTGGTCTTGGGGTTGTCCCCACCAGTTGACTTGATTCTTTGGTCATGTTTCCACCATGATCACCATCTTTTTGGGCTGCACTCTCATCCATTAATTTAAAGGGGGCCGTAGAGGCCTGTTACTCCTTGACAGCTGCATCATCTAGTGTTTCACCAGGGACTACAAAGGTAGCTTCCTCATCCACTAGAGTTTCACCCATAGCTGTAGGGGTAGCTTCCTCAATATGATGAATTTCCACTAACTGCTTATCACCCAACACTACTATCCCATAAACTTTGCTTGCACAAGTCCCAGAAGCTGAAGAACTACTTTGAACATTATTCTCATGCCCCTGTGATTTTCCTTTACCTTTATTTTCACGCTGAACCTCTGTCCATTCACCATTGTCAGTTTCCTGCTGCTCTTGAGATGTTGTTTCCTGAGGTGATGACACCCCTTTACTGGCTCCCGTAGACACCACTTGAGCACATAGATGCGTGTTGTGCCCATAGCATCTGCAAGAAAGACAGATAGTCAGTAAGCATTCATACTCAATCATCATCCTTATACCCTCTATTTCTTATTCCAATTGAAAAGGCTCTATTAGGTTTAACGCAACACAGAGTCTTGCAAATTTCCCCTCGGCTATATTCGTAGCCACCATATCAACTCTTATGAATCTCCTAAGGATGTTTCCTACCTATTCAACCAGTTGCGTGTTGACATATTCTAGAGGGAATTTCGGCAACCAAATCCAAGCGACCACTTTATCCACCGTAGCTTTTGCAGGCTGGAAATTCGCGACCCAGTCTAGAACACTTAAATAATGATCTAGGATGATCCATGGTCCATCGTGCCTAGCTTTTTCCATGTCCTATTTCCTTTCAAATCGTACAAGAAAGAAGTTATTCGCTACATCTGTTACCATAATTCTTTCTTCCTTTGCCCACATATGTTCCAGTCTTCGTTTCATAAAAGACATCTTTTTTCCCATAAGCTTCATGATTAATGTCTGCCGCCATTGTCGCCAAGATTTTTGCTTAAACGTGTTCGACAATTTGAAGTTGGCAACTACGTTGATATTTCTGCAGATCTGGATGTTAGCTCCAACTCATGGCTTTCCACCAATGGTTCTTCAAAATTAGAAACGTGATCCTCTTCATCAAGAATAATCTCATCCCATTGATTGTGTTGCACCACCTTCGCATATGGCCTATTTTCGGCAGCGACCAGATCTTCCAGTTACATTATGTTGATCATCATCTCTATCTTTGTCGATTTTCTCTCCTTCTCTGCCCTCCGTGCTTCCCTGATTCGCTTCCATGCAGACCGCCGCCAAACCCTAGCAGAGCCTATAATATAGTTATTTTAATTTATAAGTATAGTTCACAATTCAAAACCTCCTTATTTGTTAAAATTATATTTTATTATTCTTTTCACAATGCTTTCTAACGTGATTAAAATTTAAAATTATGTTAAATATTAAAATTACAACTTTAACAGAATATATTTAAGTTAAATATTAAGGCCATTAGTAATTGAAAAAACTCTTATCAATAATATTGTATTTTTCAACCTCTCTCCTTATTAATGTAAAAATACATTTCTCTCTTTTTAGTTACAAAAATTATGTTGCGTCATTGGATATGAATAAGATTAATGATAAATATTGGGTGTAAGTTTAAAAACTTACTGTTTGAGTAAGTAAATCACCTCTCAAATATATATATATATATATATATATATATATATATATATATATATATATATATAATTTTTCTAATCTAAATCTTTGAAAGAACTCTGTAAGGGTTTAGTTAATGCCCATGCACTTGCATTTTATAAATGGATTCCTTTTTTTCTCACGTGACATAAGTTAGTATCTTTTATGTTATAGATCATACAATAAATGATGATGTTAACCACTTGTTAAAAAGAGAAAAAAAAAAAAACCTCCAAGGGTAGCTCGGTTAGCAACTGAGCTCCTAAGAGTTTGCTTGAGTCAGGGGTTCAAACCCTGTCACAAGCAAATTCTTGAAAAATCTTTGGGAGCCAGAAGAAGTGCTTCTCTCCTCGAATGAGGGATACCTCCAAGTTATACCAAAACAAAAATCACGAATTTCAATGCCTCACAATATGAATATACAATCTCATATTATATAAGAAAATAATTTTCATTTATGAATATGTAAATTTAATTACTCATATTAGGAAGAAAATATTTTTCATTTATGAATATGTAAATTTAATTACTCATATTAGGAAAAAATAACATTTATTTTTAACTAAAAGTTTTGCAGATATTATATTTGTCTTCTTTTTTTTCCCAACATATTGTTTAATATATCTTTCGCTACAGAAGCAAGTGGAAGTGCCAAAAAGGTAACTATTCTATCACCCTCTTCACCCATAATAGGTCAAACCACATACGTACCTCTGTATCATTTGTTCTCTTATTTGGAGAGAAGGGAGAGTAAGAGTTAGCTTTGGACAATATAGCAAGATAGGTAACTAACTAGCCTTCCTGTACTGTAGTAACAGAAATTGCTCTGCTTTAATGAACCACCAACTGTCGTTTCATTATTCCGGCGTTGGCATTAACCCATTCCAAGGTTGTCTCTGTTCCACACAAATCCTGCATGTTCTATGTTAAATGGAACAAAGAAAATTTCACAAATCACAACCCCATTTCACTTCCATCATTCATTCAATCAACACTTTCTCAGCGAAGACGTGCTCCAAAAGCAAAAAAAAATAAAAATAAAAAATTGATTCGAATTCAATGCAGTGCATGGTACAGTCAAAAACACCTAATAAATTTTCCTGCAACTTCTTCAACTCAAGGAGTGTCAGCTTTTCATGTATGGTCTTCAAATCGAACAGCACGTGGTGAAGCCCCGTTAGAGAACCGAACAAGTTGGTTTCAGGTAAGAAGGGGTCCTGTTCTCTTAGGGTCTCATCAGCTATATATGCATGCTGAGAAGCCTAAAAGAACAGAATGTTGTTGCTCTTTGGGCTACATTGTTTATGCTGCACAATTAATTAATTATGTTCAAATTCCGTTTGGTTGGGCTTTGTTATATATAATTTATAAATTGTCAAGTTGAATTCAATTCAATTAATGAGGTTTGGTGAAATTTCTGACCAGAGAGAGATGTGATGTATCAAAGTCTATAACTGCATATCCGAGGTACCATAGTTAATGTCCCATTCCCATAACCTTCTCTTAATGCTTCATCTCCACCCCCATCTTTTTCACTAATATCAGCACCAATTCCTTTTGCTTTGCTTTGCTTCTCTCTCTGTCGTTCTCTCACTTTTTTCTGGTCACTTTTGCAATCTCTAGTGGGTCTTCTTCTTTTTTCTTTGCCCTTTTCTTAGTTCTTTTTATCCTTCCAAACTGTTCATCTCTTTAGATTGCTATTTTTGAATTAAGAATCGTACAATGAGATTACACAAGCTGATAGTTCTGCTGTGCCTTTTGTTCTCTGCTTGTATTGGGTCCAACACAGTTGCAAGAAAAACAGTCCTTGTTAGCAATTTGTTTGATGGTGCAAAGAAAAAGACCACAAGCGAGACAGTACACTATGATGTCCACAAGTGCAACCCAAAGAGACACCAATTTGGCCATTACTTGTCTTGCTCCGAGAAGAACAACAACTCAGATGACAAAAGAGTCGTTCCTACTGGTCCAAATCCGTTACACAACAGGTAGAAGACATAATTCATAATAGCAGGACCTTTCTTCCTTGAATTGTAGTTTCTCTCTTTATTTCAATGTCATTTTTGGAAGAAATGTATACACTTTTCTTCTAAATTACTTCCTTTCTCAGCTCAAAAATTTTCCCCTTAATTAATTCTCTTATTTTATTTTGTGCCTTATCATATTATCTTGTACATGAGAATTACTGGGTAAAAATTTCTATAACACATTGACACTAACACTAAGGGATACTACATTAAAATTTTTAAATGTGGGGATAATATTTATGCTTTGTGATTAAGCTCCATTGGGCATAGACCAAAAGGTTTATTTATTTATCTATTTCATGGGATAAGATATTATGCTTAGCTTTTTTCATATCTACTCTATCTACTTATAGGCAATATTATTGGATCAGAATCTCAAGAAGAGAGAGAATGAATGAAAGTTAAAATCTTAAGAGAAGAGAAAAACGATAAAAGTTAATTGAGATTCTGATTTAATGATATCGGAGATAAATATATAAGATAGACATAAAAAAACAAAATAGGTAGAATATGATATCTTTATTTTTTTTCCTATACTATTTTAGAAGGGGGTGGTGGAAAATGCTACAGAATTATGAGATGAAGATATAATAACTAGGGAGGTATTACTCACATTATGGGTTGGGTTTGGGTGTGAATCATTGGTTAAAAAAAAGAAATGTGGTGGTTGTGATCTGATCCATGACCTGTATTGGTAATGAATAATGAATGAACCGCATTGAATGTATGTCGGGGAAGAATTGAATGTGATGCCTTTGGGATATCTGCCATGCGGTATTAAATTCTAAGGGAAAAGGTTTTAAAGAGATACACATACAGTCGTTTTGTGTTTGTCTCTTTCCTTGTCTGGATCCCACCAAAAGCTATTTTTTGACATAAACCATGGTGCTTTTACATTCTTGTTTTCAGTCTCTTTCTAGCATTGTATATCTCGAGGTTGTTCACATATACTTTGTATGTATCGTCGCATCGACTTCGGCAATTCACAAAACTATATATTATAAAAATAATTAAAAATATATTAAAAAGATATAGCAAAACTCTTGAGACACAAGCATCCAGGCCACGAAGAGAAAAGTCATGGTCGGAAAAAATACTTTCTTTCTTCAATTTAATTTCATAAAATGGGCATACAAGATACAACACGCTTTATATATACAATCATCTAATTGATTATTGAATTCCAACTTTTCTTGGTATGTGTAAGAGATGCACTGGCAATATAATTTTCGATTTAATATGGAAATTTATAAATGAAAAAATCTAATTGATTATTGAGAAAACCAAAAAATTTATTCAATTATTGGTACATTAATATTACACAAGTTTAACTATAAACCGATGAGGTTAACGAATGACGTA